TAAGTACAATTTATTTAGAAAATAATTCCACTTTAAAAAGCATGTTCAGCATATCTTATCGAAGTATATGGCTTATAGAAAAAAACAAGAGGTTTGATATATGTATTCAGAGTTGCAAATATTACCCACTCTATGTAATGCAGCAGAGGATAATAGAAGATGGCAACTGACTAAAAGATTTTACAAATAAATGTAAATAATTTAGTTTCAAATCAAAACTAAACCTTACAGATGTGGAGAAGGCTAAAAATTGCTTAAACAGTACCTTGAATAGGGAGTCTTCCCTGAGCCTTTTAACTGAAGTTCCCACCTCTCTCCTATCCTGTTTAAATATTTAAAAAAGTATCAAGTCTTTTCACATTCAAATATAAGCTTAACTCCTGGATTGCCAGTACTGTTATTACAGTTCTAGAAACACTAATAGGAGTTTCCTTCACAGATGTGCTTTGGTATCTCGTGAAATACTTGCATCACAGTAAAAAAGAATGGTATAAGACACATGCAATAAGTAACTTGTATGTTTGCCATTACCTATTCGTGTATTCCCCCAAAATTACAGCACGACCATCTCCTAGCTGACCTGCCCAATCGCCAAACTTAAAAAAAAAGTCAATTCAGCCCACAGAAGCACCAGTAAAATAACAAATTTCAAGTTTATTAGATTGTTCCTGAATCCTTTCATTAACAGCTTGTTTAATTAATTTACAAGAATATGATCCCAAATAAAAACAGTGAGAACGATGGAACTTTACCTGATGTCCACCGTATCTATGTGATAGCATAATTGAGTTTGGTATCATTTCATTTCCCGCAGCAAAGTCTATGAATGCTGGTGATTCAAAGGCAGAATCATTCAAATCAAGAATGTCCGTCAATACTTCTTGAGAAATAGCCACCAAATAAGGTTTATATTTCAGAGGAACTAGATGAACTTTTGAAAAAATTACTCCATGTACTTGTCTTATATAATTTCTCGTTTCCTCGTCCACGTCAAATTCTTTCAATAGAATACTTCTTTCCATAAAACTCCAGTTTTTAAATTCTAGAAGTTCTGTCTTTCGACAAACAGAAACCATTTGTACTAACAGCAAAAACATTTTTTTCTCACAAACAGAGTGATCCTTCAGGGAGATGCAGTGAATTTTCCAAAGATCCCCATTCACTACGCTTAAAACCGAGCCGTGAAATAAAAAGAAAATAAAGATTGGAAGGGGACAACGAAAGAGACCCAAGTTCTCCGCCATATTAGATGCCTTGGTATCCAAGCCTTGGTATCCAAGCCTCGTTTTCTGAGAAAGTAACCGCGGATGGACTTCAGAAAGAGAAGGGAGGAACAGCAAGCAGAAAAAGAAAACTCCTTCAGCCCGTCATCCCTTTTCCTTTTCTTTCCAAAGGAACAGTTTGAAGACTCAGGGTGTAAAAAGAGTAAAAAGGACAGAAATGGGTGCATAATGACGCAAACTGTTTGTCAACGTGAAGTTTTAGTAGAAATAGAGCCGGTAGAAAAAACGGAAATGGGGGTTTGACAAGTTGCTAAGGTTGAAGACGTTGTAGATAGTTTGGTTTCATTTGGATTCACAAGGATGTTAATATTTAATCAGATTTTACAACGTTCTCCGTTACCAACTGTTTCGTGACCTTAGTTACTCTTTACTCTAAGCCTTACACAAAGCGGCAGCTGACAAATTTAAACATAGGCATGCGTAGCATGCAAAAGTAATTTTTTGGCTGGGCGGATTGAGATGGGGCACTTTTTTTCGTAATGTTTTCGTTTGTGCAACAGAAAAAGAACATAACTTTCAAACGGAGGAAAATATCGCCTTACTTAACCTAAAGAGAAATGGAAAAAACTAATTTATCTGAACTCGCACAGGTATTTTGTGGTCTATTGTCTCTATTGTCCAAAATACATCTAAGCAAAGATAAAATCCATCGGTGCTACACTTGCTGTTGTTCCCCTCGCAGCCGTTGTTTGGTCTCACCACACAACACCAAGTATCCCCTGATGGAAGGAGAGCGCGTTGCAGGAGGGGATTACAGGAGGGGCCCGGGTTCCCACTCCTTTTGGGGAAAAAAATACCGCAGAAGGAAGAAAACCCGGCAGGGCAAGCGACAAAAAACCGGGCTCCCCTTTAGCTCAAGGTCTGGATCCGCCACTGCATACCCTAATGCAGCAATCTGACCGGTGCGAGATACATACCCAAATGCGGCGATCTGATTGGTACGAGC